CGCAAGCTGCCGAGCTGGGCCTCGGGACGCGAGCAGACCGCCGACCTCGCATGGCTAGCGCATGCAAAAGTCTTAGGGAGTGCGAGAGGTGGAGAGGAGAAATTCTGAGAGAAATCAGCAGGAAGGTATCCAAGATCCAAGATGGTGCGTCAATGGTTTATGTTATGCCTATTGACGATGACCTATACACGTACAACCATTCTAGCTGGTTTGACCGACTACGAAGTTCGCGATCTCAATGATGAGATTAACAAGCTCATGCGCGAAAAGCGGCATTGGGAAAATCAAATAGTGGCGCTGGGAGGCGCAAATTACAGGCGGAACGTAGCCATGTTGGATGATGACGGTAAAGAGGTCCCTGGGACAAAAGGATACAAGTAAGTGGTCTTTCCAACGTTTTCACACGATTTAGTAATCGATTTGTCTGTATAGATATTTCGGGCGAGCCAAAGACCTTCCTGGTGTTCGTGAATTGTTTGAGAGTCGAAAGAACGAGGAAGAGGAGGAAAATCAAGTCCTTGCATATTACAAGAAATTTATGAACCAAGGTCCATCGTACTATGGAGACTTGGACGAAGTAGACGGCAAACTGCTTGCATATGAGCAAGAAGCGGAAGAAGAAGGTAAGCATAGTATCATGTTGCTTAAATTTGCGCTTATACGCGCTCAGACTGGGAAGAAGCCTTCATCAATGTTCGGGAGACTCTTGCACTGCCATCCGATACACCAACTCCAAAGATACCTCGTCCCAATGTCGATGTAGCTCCCTCTACGACCGATTCATCAAAACCTCCCCCTCCGTCATCCAAACGGAAAGCTGGAAGTCAAAGCGAAGACGTGGACATGGATTCAGGCGGCGACGACTCAAAGAAGGTCAAGACAGGATCGGAGAAAACTGCAGGCGCCGTTGTTTCTCAGCCTACCGCCGACGCAGATGCTTCTCGAATACATGCTCAAGCCGCTGCTGCTTACATACCCTTCCTCGATGTTGACCAGCTTCTACCCCCAAAGCTTCCCTCGCACGACGAAATGGAAGGGGTTCTATTGGCGCTCCGAAAGAAGGCTCTGGTCGAAGAATATTTTGGCGATGCGACATAATTCTTCGAAAGATTTATGTTTTCCGGGACGATTGTTTGTCCATAACCCCCCCATGTTTATTACATTCTATCATCTATGTCTTTCCTTTCCCTCGAATCGTCGTTTGTGTTGCATGTCAGCGGCGAAGACTTTCTTCAGCTTTCAGATAGGCCAGAATTCTGCAAGCTTGCGTTACGAATGGAGATTTATTACGCACGGCCTGCTGGTTCCACGCTTCTTATGGGAATATTTCGAAAGCGAAATCTGGGATGCTCTTTCGTTGTCAAGCTCGTGACGATTTAACCTGCGCTTAGCGCGTTTGAATGGAAGGCGTTTGTATTATCGGATGAAGCCTCCAACATTGGCTTTTAATGGGCATGATTATGCACCAAGTCATCGAATCCTTTTTCTTTTTCGCATTCCGGCGCGAATATTATTAAGTCTCGTTCATGAGCACAGGGCATCTCGGACAAGTTTCTCCTTCCCAAAGTATAAGTTAGGCGCAAGATCCCAAGCCATGACGGCACGCTGTGCTGTGGGTATCGAGCCTCGAGTTCGCAGCCGCATCTAGATTCAGATACGAGGTCCAAATTAACGGCGGCCTGAAATCTTTTCGGTTATTCACAGCGCAAGGGAGACTCAATGGTAAGCAATCTATAATTTGACTTCAGATTCCCGCATGAAGAACACAACCGTCCAGCTTGTGCGAGGTTTTGTTGCTTGGCTCTTGCATATTGAATTGTTCTACCGAAAATCGGCTTTCTAGGTGCTTTATCAACTCTTGCTCTTTTGGTCCCCTCGCTTTGCCACCTGTCTGTGGCATTATTCTACACCTACACAGCCATAGAAGACTGAGTCATGCATTATTGCGTCTGGTGTCATGAGGATAGCGTTCCTCGCTATACTGAATGGAGTATCCGCGTTGTTCGTAAAGGCTCTAAGGTTTGAAGTATGAACATTACTCTTTGGACCTATCTCTGGACGACGGATATCATTTTGTTTCCCTAATACAAAAGGCCATTGTTGTATTTGGTACGCCTACTCCTCGAGGCATCCTTCGAACACACAGGAGGTTCTGCTCATCATGCAATTTCCGAAGTCTATATCATTCACCATAACTTCTAGATCGTCTCGTTCAGTCACGGAATTGGGCTTCCAGCTTGTATTGCCCTGCTACTTACCCGTTTTCAAGGACCATCTCGATAACATCAACACCCAAGACATTGTCCGAAACCAACGCATATCGTGTATGTTCTTATCTGTTGACTGAGCAGTGCCCTGGTTGACCCATTATACTTCTACTGGCGGAACGATAAACTTTATCGCTCATTACATGTACGTGCGCGCGATTTCTTGCCATGTCATTGCCTACCCATCCTCTTCGACTTGGTTCTCTTTCGATGCAGAATCTGGCGGCGCCACTCTTTTCAACTTCAGCCAACTTCGCCTTATAGGATCAGTCACGGCCTTGCAATTTATAACCCCGTTTTTGGGGGAAACGGTCGAAGTTCTGTAGTGTGCACTTCCTTGTCCGAGATTTTCGGGTGGGCACACTTATCTCGCGAACGTAAGTGTAGTAGATCTCATTCTGTTTACATTTTCTGAATAGTAGGAAGGTACGTGATACGGTTCCGTCTTGAGCCGTCTTCACGGAACCCGAATATTGCGGACAGGTAGGTTGCATAAGCCTACTTTTAGCTACCATTCACCTCTTTTACTTAGGACTCGTACTGCAATCTCTCTCTCACCCTCAGAAACTTCAACTTGTCCTGCATGTAGATTCCCCAATTTGAGCGAGAGCTTCGGTTAATACCTCGAGATCTGGATCTAACTGCCGAAAATCCATGTCAACCACGAATGCGTCAGACGCTCACCCTTTGGCATATCGAGCCTATGCCATAGGCGGAAAATAACGTTGCGGTTTTTTACTTTTATTCCTCCATGATTCATCGCTCGACGGGTCGCCACTTTGCGATATAAAAGGGCAACCCCAGTACACTGACCGACCCTTCTCTATCTCTTCTGGCTACCGTCGCTTCGCTACCATGGGTCGTCCAACCGAAAACGAGTTTACCCTCCTTATGTCGAACAAACAGTCGACGGACCTTCAAGATCCTCTGCATCTTGTGTCCCCGTCGCTTAGGCCATACATTGAGCTCATAAGGCTTGAAAAGGTCAGTCATAGTGTAGTGGGTTATATTATCTGGGCTAACAACTTTTATAGCCCACAGGGACAATCTTAATGTTTTGGCCCTTTGGTAAACATCAATTTTGGATAGCCTCCAACACTGACTGACGAAAATCAGCATGGGGCCTGACCATGGCGGCCTTCAGAATAAAACTTCCTCTCGGGATATACGCCGTCCAACTCATGAAATGCTTTGTCGGAGCTATCATCGTTCGAAGTTCAGCTTGCACGGTCAACGATATCATCGATCGCGAAATGGATGCAGGTGTTGGTGCGTGATACCCTGCGAGCTCGTTTCAAACAGCGTATCGAATACGTAGCTCTTTTAGGACGCACTCAGCGGAGGCCTTTGCCAAGTGGGCAAATTTCAGTGTCTTCCGCCCTCATTTTCTTGCTCTTCCAATACGTTCTAGGGATCTCGTTCTTCTACTTGGCATTCTCAAATACGGCGTACGTTTTTCTCGCTTTTAATTGGCGCAGCAACATTATTGAGCAATACATGCAGTTTCTTTATCGCGCTCTTCCAGCTTTTACCGTTGTACGTGGCCCTATACATTCTCAATTTAGAAAGCCCGTTCATTGATCTCATAAGATTCGTGATTTATCCGCTTTTGAAGCGCTGCACACACTGGCCACAGGCCTGGTTAGGGATAGCGATGAATTTTGGCTTCATAACAGCGTGGAGTGCCTCTGTTGAATCTTTCGACGTATCGCTTCTTGTCTCTTCTTTGATGGGCTGCTGGTGGTATGTCTCTTCTCCAGCTGTTGTATTCTCACACTTATTCACTGCCATATATCTTTAAGCTGGACGATGCTTTATGGTCGGCCCGACAATTTCTTCTGCTGGTACAATGTCTAATTTTCGTCACAGATACGATTTACGCTTGCCAGGATATCAAAGACGACGTGAAAGTAGGTGTCCGCTCCACGGCCATCCTTTTCGGAACATGGATTCGCCCTTTGCTCGTTGGATGCGGCCTATTGTTTTTAGTCATGCTGTCGGTAGCTGGACTGGCTAATACGCAGGGACCCGCATATTTTGTCATCTCTGTTGGAGGAACGGCGACCCATTTGATATGGCAATACATGGCCGTTGATTTAGAGTCTCCGAAGAGTTGTTGGAGTACGTATCTCATTGCCGACCTTTTGAAGCTGTTGGCATGCTCAACTCCACTCTATTTTCAGCTAATTTCAAGCGTAACGGTCACCTTGGATGGATCGTTTGGGCAGGGTTACTTGTTGATTATTTTCAATTGGTGTCGAGCATTCATGTTTATTGACTAAAGGCTCATGTGCTCATGGTTTTTTCTTGAATATATTGAAGCCTGAAGGGTTTCAGAGTCGTGGACTCGGAAAAACGTGATTGAACGAGGGGTGACGCCAAGAGTAAAAACGCAGCTACATCGGCGTCAATCCAGGTAAAGTTGTCCAAGAAAAGGAAGGCCCCATTGATGGGTGTCGGGAACGTAGTCGTGAAGAGTCGTGAGGTCGTAATTTTTGGTAATTTTCTAGGCGCGAGGTACGCCGTAATAAACTTGATTGTATTACTATCAACTGCCTATTGTGTAAGTACAACCTTGAGCGAAACTTTATGTGAAATCCCAATGAACCTCGGATAATATTGAATGAAGAAATAAGGAATTGATTGAGGACTATTACTGTACTTTTTATGGGAATTCCGCCGTGCGCGCTACAGCTTAGCGGACCTATAGATAAAGCCACTTTATCATCGCATGGGCACTTGGCACAGGGGTAGCGCGCACGCTTCGCATTTGTTTGCGTGAGGTCGAGGGTTCAATTCCCTCAGTGTCCATTTTGCTGCACTTTTGCTGAAGTGCGAACCTTTCGCGCTTGTTTTTGGGGCCAGGAGAGCCTCCAGGAGGCCGCGAGGCGCACGCGAATTTTTTTCCCTGAGAAATTACCATATATGGAAAGCGACCGGCAACACCCGTGCATCCCGAACCTTTCTTTCATCAAGTTTCGTGGAAGTTGGAAGTCAGAGGCTCGTGAGTTGAGAAAGCGTTCGGGATCATTTCAAAGTCGGATAGTTTGATGTGATAATTTTCCTTACCGATTTAGCGCCCATGGAGGAGCAGTGGAGCTATCTAGGGGTATTTGTCTAATATTATCAAAGCATTGAACGTTCGTCGAATCCAGGTCCACAAAGCGCGAGGTTGCGCAAAAGATGCACACTCATCATGACAATCAGCCCAGCACTTGCATTTTAAATTGAAAATATGCCCTGAAACGTCATTATCTTGACAAGACTTGGGAGTTGGAGGATCGATGATCGCTGTGTTGCAATTGGCTTCTCTCCGAGTTAATGGGTCAGCCGCGGGTACTGCTTTGGTCCATACTTCCTATGGTCCATTGAGTTCAGTTTTGGATGTGTGGTGCCGCTGGCGCTATTTATGTTAGAGTTTTCCATGGAGAAGATCCCTTCCACCTACATTAAAGGTGTGGCAGAACTTCAATTACTTCTATCATTCGAAACTTGCCAGGAGATTGAGCACTTCGATGCTCTGGACGCCTTTCCTGTGGCCACGATTGCGCCGTGCGACCGCTGCTCTGCTTATGCTTGGTCAGTGTCGTTACATTTTCTCAAGGGTTGGACAGCGGGCACACGTGCATCTAGCTTCGATGATGATGGTAAGTAAGGGTATAAAGGCTATCATAGTTTTCAGTAAGTGGAGTCGCTGAGTACAAACATTCAGGTGCGCGTTCAGCATGAAGCCGACAACAGGAATACGCTTTGCAAGGAAGGTGGAGGCGTAGGTGTTTGCTATAAGTTCTCTACCTCGTGCATAGAATCCACTAGAAGTCTGTCAGATGGCGTCGAAGAATTTCTTAGATGTTATCTTAACTTATCGTTATTATTCGGAGTTTCGTATCCGCTTGATACGCAACGTTATTCATTGTACGTATCTGTGTGAATATCTCTAGCATAACGGGCACCCCGTCTGTCGGAAATCGGAACACGTTCGACTGGCGTGAGAGGAGGCATAGCCTGCATATGCTTCCGGTCGTCCTTCAGTATATATTCACAGAGAAAATCACCTACTCAACCCAGCATGCGGGCCGTGGCTTCACATGGTACGCTGTCAAGAATGGTGGCTATTTTTAGCAGGCGGACCCGCATCTATAATGGGCGTCTATTTTTAGCCTCTATGAAACCCCATTGGCATCCATTTACTAAGGATGCGCTTTGAGTTGCCATTACCAATGCCAGTTACCCCCGCATGACCGCCCAACGCCCCTCGGAGCAGGATTTATTCATATTCTCACCAAAGTTAGACGAACGAATGCACGTTCGTCGCAGGTAACGAGGCCATAACACGCCATTTCGTGCATCGGTATATAAGTCTCTGCAGGTCGACCGAAACGACCCCTCTGTAGGCTCTTGCGCTTACGTTTAACCTTGGAGAAAAGCAGACCTTCGGCAATTCGGAATGCTCTTATCTTCGTTAATCTGTGCTACTCTTATCTTTGGGGCTGAATCCAGATTCATTGAGCCTAAACCAAAGCCTTCCAGGTAAGTTACCGCCTTCCTACCTTTAGAAAAACACAAATGAATTCTCTTTTGCAGAAATCCGGTAGTTCCTGGTGTTGTTTTTGACAGATTTATTACGATATGGCTGGAGAACATTAATTTTGCTTCAGCGTCTTCGGATCGTACGTCGGCATTCAATAGCAGCCTGTCTTGATTTAACGCCCATTTCATAGCTAATTTTGCGGCACTGACGAAGCAGGGGATTCAGTTGACCAACTACTTCGCTGTTACCCATCCTTCAGAGCCCAACTATGTCGCGTCAGTTGGGGGAGACTACTTTGGGATGAACAACGATAATCTACACCGCATCCCTGCCAACATCTCCTCAATCGTCGACCTGCTTGAGGAAAAAGGTATATCGTGGGGTGAATACCAGGAGGATATGCCAGAGACGGGCTTCCAAGGCTTCCAGCAACTGGCACCATCCGGAGCGAATGACTATGTCCGAAAGCACAAGTACGTGATACTATATCTTATTTGACGTGTGTTTGAGCTTAACTCCGCCCTTTAGCCCGTTGATTATTTTCGATTCAGTTGCCAACTTCTCCTCCCGCGCAGACAAGATCAAGAACTTCACGTTGTTCGAACAAGATCTTGCCGAGAATAAAATCCCTCAATGGAGCTTTATCACTCCAAACATGAGTATGTAATCTTCATACCGTTCATTTAGCGTTTTAACACCGTTATTTATCTAGCTAATGATGGTCACGATACTAACATCACTTTCGCATCGACCTGGGCTAGAGGTTTCCTTGAACCATTGTTGAAGAACCCCCACTTTAACGGCGAGAAGACCCTCATCTTGCTGAGCACGTTATTTGTCAAATCTGTTGACAGCCGCGCGCTAATGTTAACTGTAATATCTAGCGTTCGATGAAAACGGGTCGTCAGATCCCCACAACCGTGTCGATAGTGTCCTCCTCGGGACTGCAGTGCCCAGGGAGCTCATCGGAACACAGGACACGGCTTTCTACACCCACTACTCCGAGATCGCCACCGTCGAGGCCAACTGGGGCCTCCACACGCTCGGACGCTTCGACGTCGGTGCCAACGTGTTCAGTCTCGTCGCCAAGCACACCCGCGATGTTATCCGCAAACTGGATGTTAACCAGGCCTTCTTGAACATTTCGTACCCTGGGCCATTTAACACCGCCCCATCGGGTAATTACGCGGTCCCTAACACCAAACTCACCGTCAACGGGCGTCGCGTGCTGCCCAAGGTCGTTGAAACGTGGGGATCTGCTCACCTGCAAAGGTGCGCCTTGTATGATGGCGCACTGCTTCCTCCGAGCGGCCTTAACCCCCCTGTTATTCCGGAGGGATGCTAAGCGCCTCAGAGGGCCTATTTTTTTTGCCACTTCTTGTTTCTTTCTTTGGTGCATCGCCAACGTCGCAGACTTTTTGGACCTCTTTCAATTCGCCTGAGGGCATCATTAATGTTACAATTGAGATTCTTTGGTCTTTATCTCTAAATAAAATCAAATTAACGCCAATTGTGCAGTTCTATGAATTGATTGAGCGCTTTTCGGTCGCAGATGGCAAGGGGAATCTGGGGAAGTCAAGCCAAAGTTAAGCGCCCGTGATTGACAGCATATGGTCACGAGGACAAACAGAGGAAAGCAGAAGCGCTTGGGCCCGATTCTCAGGCCGCGTTCTTTCAATCCACCACCCACAACACCAAGCTTATTGTGTGTGCTTGTCGACTCCTTGATCATATCAATACCAACATCAATACATCTCAATGGCAGGAGCAACCGAAATCTATTTATATCTCAGCAACTTCAAGCTGGTCTCTTCGGTCCTCCGAATATAAGCTTCTTTCCGTCGTCTCAATCGCAAGCAGTCCTTCAACGAAACGCGAAAGAAACATGATTCAGAGCTGGTTGAAAACTGATCACCAGTCACCTTCATCTGAAGAATACGAAGACATCAATATGTTTCAACTGATATCGCGATCATCGATAAGCCTTCTGTGGCTGCAGAAGTTCTTCGTTCCCATGCCCTCCCATCAGCAACATGTTTAGAGGAACAAGCAGATATGTCAGCAATGACACAATTAGAAGGCTCATCGTATGATAAATTCTCCTTCTATAGGCATTCATGTGGAACTCGTGGAGCGCAGGATGCCTAGGCTTTATTGATGGACTGATGAGAGGACGGGTGCGCTAGGGCAATTCTTGGGAATTCACTCCAAAGCCTGATCTTTCCGGACAGTAACCTGAGGTCAAGCTATTTCGAGTCTTGGAGATGGCTGCTAATTTCGCAGGGGTTCTTCTCTCGCTTTCACTCCCATCCTGTTGCTCGACTTCGTTGTGTGCCAGCATAGCAGCTCTTCGTCCTTGGATGCGGCAAGCCCGAAATTACTCCAAAGCTTCTATGTGGACAGCTTGAGCTTTCATTTTTTCATTGGAAAGATTTGGAAGGCCCTTCGATCTCGGTTTTCGTTCTTTAGCGATCAGCAACTCTTTCGTCTTTCGACTCGTCTACCCTCGCGGCTGGAAACCGGACAAGAAAGCTTGCCTTAGCCTTGAAGACAGGATTTGAATGGCTCATCCGTATAGCGGACCAGCTAGCTACATCTATGCTAATGAGGTAATGTTTGGACTTTGATAACCGAGTTGAAACGATCCTAACATGAAGTACCTTTGGTGGATAAGTATTTGGATGACGACGAAGTGACCGCTAGACGGATACCGCATTTCCCTCCACCCACTTCAATCCTTTCTTCGCCTCCCGTTTCTCCTATATCGAAGGCCAAGCCCTGGTCCCCCGTGAGTATTTGATCAATTCCGCCCAATATGGTGTATTCCATACATGGCGTTTTAAAATCGAATTCCCAGATCATTTTCGAACGCCCATTCGCCTCCGTTCCCCAGTTTTCAACCGACTTCCAATCCGATCGTTATAAAAAATTCAGCAGGTCCTCCCACGTAGCGAATGCCAGTACAGGGACAAGCATCGAGCCGTATGGATACGAGTCGATGAGGGTGCGTTTCGATACCCCCAATGAACATATACTAGCGTGGCGTCGGAAACTCAAGGTGAGTGATTAATTGCTTGGGCAGAAATTTATTATGCGCTTTGCTGATGCACCGCTGGCAGTTCATCAAACGGAAGCTTGGGCGTTTTCGGCGCGAGGTCACCAAGCTGATGACCCACAATTGGATTACGACACCGCGTCCTCGTCTGTCGATGATTAATTGAAACGGCGACCTCATCCGAGGCGACCATCTGTCAGAGTTGCTTTTGTGGGTGCAGAGGCG